TGCAGATTCCTGCTCTTCCAGTGGAGAGGTGGCCCTTCCTCCCCCCGATTGGAATGGGACCCAGGCGTTCTAATGGCCAACTAGAGCGTGCTTTTCAGAGACAAGGCTAGGACCAGGAGTCCTGATTCTCATTTTCTTGCTTTAAACATCCTCACAGACATGAAAAGGAGACTTTCTACACCACTAAGCATCTCCCCCCCGAAAGAAGGGGAAGGGGGGGGGGGTGAGTTCAACCAGCTTCGCCTCACACTGATATTTCAGTTTTCTCCAACTCTTTTTTCAGAACCCACCTGCCCCCTTAACTCTCACTACGAGCTCTGTGGAACCAGCTGCCCTACCACCTGCCACAGCACGTGGGCTCTGCATCGGTGTGAGGAGCCCTGTGCTGAAGGGTGTTTCTGTGATACTGGATTCACCCTGAGTGGAGACCAGTGCGTCCCCGTCGCGCAGTGCGGCTGTGTGCACCAGGACAGGTACTACCAGAAAGAAGAGGAATTCTACCCCAGCACCTCCTGCCGGGAGCGGTGCCTGTGCAAGGGCAACGGGGTCATCGAGTGCCGGGAGGCCTCCTGTGGAGTAAATGAGGAATGCGGTGTGAAGAACGGAGTCCTGGGCTGCCACACCGTAGGCTATGGAACATGCCTTGTGTCTGGCAGCAATCATTACACAGCCTTTGATGGATGGGCCCTTGACTTTCAGGGCTCCTGCACTTACACCTTAGCCAAGGTCTGCAGAAGTGACTCTGGGCTGGGGAACTTCTCCGTGGTGGTAGAGAATGAGGGTGCTGGTGGTGGCCATGTGGTTGTGATGAAGACAGTGGTGGTCTCTGTTCATGATTACACCATCACCATGGAGCGGGGAAGGAAGTGGAAGGTTCTGGTAAGTCCCGGTTTGAGATTAATTTTATATTGCACTAGTGCTTGTGTGTACGCATGTGTGTGCGTGTGTGTACCGAATCCCCACCACTGATGGGTGAATTTCCCTCTTCTTGGCACAGGTTGGCGGGGAGCTCTACACCCTCCCGCTGGCTACGAATGATGGGAAACTTTGGATCAACCAGGAGGGGAACAACATCATTCTCCAGTCTGCCGCTGGCCTCGGAGTCTTTTATGATGCTGCCACCTACCTCCGAGTGTCCATCCCCAGCACCTACAAGGGACATGTGTGTGGCCTGTGTGGAAATTTTAATGATGACAAGAATGACGACCTCCTGCTGCCTGGTGTGAAGAACACCCAGAATGTGGATGAATTTGTCTCCTCTTGGAAGGTGCCCATTGAGGGCGCCTTGTGTTCTGATGGCTGCGGTGAGAAGTGCCCCACGTGTGATGCGGCCCAGACAGCACCATACCAGGCGGAGAGCTCCTGTGGGCTGATCAAAGCTGCCTCAGGTCCCTTCAGAGACTGCCACTCACTGGTCAGCCCGGCCGAGTACTTCAGCCAGG